GAGGGTCCTCCCTCCTGGGGCCTTTCTAGTGGAGGAGGGAAGCCCTGTCCTCAGCAATCTAGGCTGGTTTTGGGTTTGCCTCTCTTTGTGCAGCTGAGTTGTTCCTGAAAAGCTGCCGCAGTGAGATCCTCTGCTCAGGTCCCCAGTGAAAGGCCTTTGGGTTGAGTCCTTTTGACCCTGCACCCCTCATCTTGATCCCGCACCCATTCCTGCCTTATTTGTAAATCAGCGTTTTCTCTGTGCTGTGCTTCTCTCTTCCTCAGCCAGGCCCCTGAATTCCTGAGCATGGTGGCGACCGGCACTGTCAGGACTTAGATTCTCTGGGGCCGGGGGCAGGCGTGAGGGTTAACGGGGAGTGTGTGTGAGGACTGCCGGGTGCGTGCAGATAGCGGCGGTTCTACTTGTTTCCTTACTGTGGACACCACACGCCTACTCTGGGCAGGCTCACCGGATACAGGCCCTGCTCCCACAGAGCTGACATTCTAGTGGGGGGCAGATGATAACCCTGGAGATAATGGAACATGTCACAGCAGAGCTATGAAGAAAATACAGGGTATCCCATGCAGGATAGATAAGGAGGGGCTGGAGAGGGGATAGGGAAGGCATGCTATTTTGTAGGGTGGTCCAGGAAGCCCTTTCTGAGGAGGTGACATTTGAGTAGAGCTCTGAAGGAAGTAAAGAAGGGAGTCATGTTAATATTTGGGGGAAGAGGATTCTAGGCAGAGCAAACAGCCAGCACAAAGGCCCTGAGGCAGGAGTGAGCCTAGTACAAAGACAGCAAGGAGACCTGGGTAATAGAAGCAGAGGAGGCAAGAACAGAAGAAATGCGGTCCAGGAAGAGCAGGGGACAGATGAGGCAGGGCCTTGTGGGGCATTGAGAGGATGTTGGCATTTTTCCTGAGAGCAGCAGGAAGCGACTGGAAGGTTTCCAGCCTTGGAAAGGTTCAGACATGGAAAGATTCACATATGAATGGTTACTCGGCAGCTGAGTGCGGGATAGACTGCAGGGCGGGAGTGGTTGGTCCTGACTGCACTGGGCTTAGCATGGTGACCAACAGGCAGTGCCAGGGAAGTGGTTGGAATGGACAATGAAATGCTTTCCCACCGTGAGCATGTCCCCAGGCTCAGGGATTAGGGTGGGGAGAGGCAGTTTAAGTAGATGTGACCAGAGGTGGGGCATGGGTTTTAAGAAATCTGACCTCGATCCTTGCTCTCCTCTCTGCAGGTGAAGCAGGAGATGGGCAACATTGTGACCAAGCTCATTCAGGACTACAAGCATGGTCAGGAGGACAGCCTGCAGCAGGGCTGGGACTACGTGCAGGCTCAGGTAAGACGGGGTAGGGCGCGGGGTCGCGCGAGGTTCTTGGCTTATGTGTGTCTGTGTGCCTGTGTGCACCTGACAGAGAATGTTATCGAGTGTGTATGTGAGTGTGATGTGGGGGGAGTCCTCCTACCTGGCACCTCAGCCACCACCACAGCTCCTTGCTCAGGGGGCCCCAGGCCTTGGAAGATGTCCCATGGCTTGCAGTGCTCCAACCTGTGGCCAGAGAGTGGGGGTCAGCTCTCGACCCTCTCATCTCAAGCCAGGTTGGAAAGCGTTGGGAGCTCTACCCTGGAGGTTAAGAAATGCGGTGCCAAGTCTGAGTGGAGGCTACCTTTAGGGAGGAGCCCTTGGAAAAGTTCTGGGGTGAAAGGAAAGCTCTATTCATTAGTCTAAGAGGTTATGCACTATATATGTAAAAATTCACAAGCTAAATTTGTGCACTTTAGTGTATGTGTGTTCCATCTCAATTAAAATGGGAGAGCCAGAGACCACAAACTGACAGAATGACTGGCTGAATGAATGAATGGCCATCCGACTGGGTTCCCAGCCTGCCTTGAAGGTGAACCAATCATCACACACACAAATAGACATCAGTGATCAGGGCCCGGCTGCCCTCTCTCTCATGGTCCCAGGTGCTGTGTGCCCTTGGCCAGGACCCCATCCTCTGGGCTGCAGCCGCCTCCTCTCTCCTGTGAGGACGCTGGGTACAGCAATCATGTAGGACCTGCTAGCACCGACTGACAGGAGAGTTTAGAGACTGAAGAGGGACTTTGTCCAGGAGGTATGGGCGCATCCATTTTCCAAGCTGTGAAAAGGAGAGGGTGATGTTTTCTGGCCTACCTGCCTCACAGATTTTTTGGTGAGAAGCAGATGAGGCCAGGTAGGAGGGCCCGTGTCGCAGGAGGGCTGGACGCACACAGGAAGATGTTTTCGTCACACCTTTAGTCTGACCCATAATTCTTGAGATGCTTTGCTAAGATTAGAGGGAGTCAATCCCAGGTTGAACAAGTGCCACCTTTCAAGGAGCCTGGGGGAGAAGTGGGTCCCTTGGGAGATGAAGAACATCCCGCCATGGGAGGTAGTTGGCTGGCTGGGGGATCCCTGCAGCTATCAGGGCCTCTAGAGGATTCTGATGTCTGTCAGATGCTGCTTGGGATGGTGGTTAAGAACACAGACTGTAAGTCAGGCTCCTGAGGGCTGGGATACTAACTCTGCCACTTCCTGCCAGACCTTCTCAGAGCCTCAGTTTCCTCATCTATAAAATGGGGCTACTGATCCATACTCATGCAGGATGAACTTTTAAAGCCTGTGGCACTTAGGTAGCACTTACCGTGTGGTGATGTTTTATTCCCCGTGCACAACCACTGAGACACTGGGTGAGTGGCGGCTGGGGACAGACCTTGGCACGGGTCAGGGCAGGAGGCCCTGGAGAGAAGGGCTCTGTCTGGTGCAGTAGAAAGGTCAAGGAAAGCTGCCTCATTTGCCTTGGGTGTGGGAGGACCTGTGGGTGCCCCTCCAAGGTACCAAACTTTCTGCCAGAGGGGAGGCGGCCAGGCAACTGCAACATAAAAAAATACAACCAGGAGCCCAAGAACTCCTGCGCATGCTTGGCGCGCCCCCTGCTGGCCCCGGGCTGCTTGTCAGGGACTGGTCACTGAGAGGGGAAGGGAGCGGGTGGGGAACTGACTTCGTTGGGCACGGTGGCATGCAGCTCAGTACTCCTCCTGGGGATGCTGGCATGGTGCTTATTGCCATCCCATTCCCCCGATGAGGAAACGAGGCCAGAGAAAGGCAACGGCTTGCCCATGCAGGGGGCAGGGCCAGGCTTTGAAAGGACCCCTGCTGCCACTCTGCTCTGTCTTCTTGGGGCATTTCCAGCACAGGCCCAGCCCCTGAGATCCCCGTCCTGTTGGGAACTCAAGCCCAGATGTGATCCAAAGCCTCTTGGGGTCCCATTCATGAGCTCCATGGGGGCCCTTTTGGCACATGGAGCCCAGAAAGGTTTTCTTCTCTTCTGGAACTGGAGCATTTTTTCCTGTACAAAGTGATCCTCTACAGTACGGGGCATGTCTCCTTTTTCACTTTGGCCACCAGGAAGCTCAGAGGCAAATTGCAACTCCAGCACACTTAGCACCGAGAAGCGGGACTGGCCTTTCCTATGCAATTACCAGTGCTCCCCAGACCTGCGCTGGGTGCTTGGCCGGCCTCGTCCCACTTAGTCCTCCTAACAGCCTTGGGAGTTAGAAACCTCATTGCCCTACTTTTCAGATGAAACTGAGGTCAGTACTTTGACCAAAGTTGAGTAGCTGGTGGTGGCAGAGCTGGGATTTCAACCCAGTGGCCGGACTCCAAGCCCCACGCTCTTAACCGAATGCTGTCTGCCCTGCTTTTTGTCCCCCACACCTGTGTTCTGTCCTTCAACTTGAAACTCCCTTCTGTTATGCTTTATATTTTTGCTGGTCCTGATTTTCCCTTCCTACTGTTGAGTAGTTTATGGTCTGTGTTTCCTGAAAGTCCCTTTAAATCCTTTGTGGCTCACAGAAGTCAAAGTCTAAACTCGAGTCCTGGTGGTGTGGCTGGGCCCAGGGAGGCCTGGATGAGGCAGATCTGAGCCTCTTTCTGGGGAGGCCCCACCTCTGCCAGAATGTCAGATGGCCTGATGGGCAGTGGGCATGAGCAGCCTGTCCCCTCCTTGTCCAGGGCAAGTGCTGCGGCTGGGTCAGCTTCTATAACTGGACAGAAAACGCTGAGCTCATGAATCGCACCACCCTCACCTACCCCTGTTCCTGTGAGCTCAAGGGGGAGGATGACATCCCCCCCTTGAAGAAGGGCTTCTGCGAGGCTTCCAGCAACAGTACCCAGAGTGACAACATCCCCGAGAACTGGCCCGTGTATAAGAAGGTATGTGGAGGGCTGTGGGGTCGGGGCTGGGCTCGGGGGCACCCAGGGGCTCATGTACTCTGGCCACCCAGGCTCACCTGGGTTCCTGCTCCATCCTTACCCCCTTCCTTCACTTAGTTGTCCCCTTTGATCTACTTGTTCCCCTGTCGTTTTTACCTTCATTACAATAGTCATTAATATGTCTATTCAAGAAACCCACAGACCTCTCTGGGCAGGGGCTGGCCCGCTTGGTGGTTCTGCGTGGCGGGGTGAGGCGGCGTGGCGTGGGTTGACATGGCTGTTCTCCCCTTGCAGGGCTGCATGGAGAAGGTACAGGAGTGGCTGCAGGAAAACCTGGGCATCATCCTGGGCGTGTGTGTGGGCGTCGCTGTCATTGAGGTCTGGGTTCCCTCCCCTGCAGCCCTCCCCATGCTCTGTCCTCCTGGATTGTCCTTGCTCTGCCCATGTCCTGGGGGAGGCCCTGTGGCAAGCCTGGCCTGAGAACTGGCCCTCCCTGGCCCTCTACTGCCCAAGTCACAGGCTGGTCATGAGACTGTGGCTGAGGATCCTCTTAGTCCCCATGTATGGACCTGGACGGCAGGATGCTACTCTGGGGCCTCTGGGGGGCTGGGCAGCCCTGCCTCCTCTGACTCTTGCCCTTTCCCTCAACAGCTCCTGGGGATGCTCCTGTCCATCTGCTTGTGCCGACATGTCCATTCCGAAGACTACAGCAAGGTCCCCAAGTACTGAGGCAGCTGCTGTCCCCACCTCCCTGCCTGTCCCCTAACCTCAGGGCTCCTAGGGGTCTCCCTGGCTCCCTCCTCCAGGCCCGCCTCCCACCTCACTGCCAAGGCGCCTTGTCTGTCCTGTGCTGCTGGGAGTGAGGGGCTGTCTGAGGCCTGGACCCCCTCCCTGTCTTTCTGCCTCTGGCCTTGAGCCCTGCTGCTGTGGCTCCTCCACTCACTGCCCACCGGGGTTCTCTGAGCAACTCGAAGAAAACACTCCCTGCAGCATCTCTGCACAGGTGGGCTGGGTTTCTGCCTGCCTTTGGGGATGTATATATTGTGTGGGGGAAAGTATATTAAAAATGGGGGGGGAGGTGTAGATAAGGCACCCTGGGCTGTCAGGGGACTGCCCACTGCGTGGGTCAACATTTTTCCACTATGATGCTTATACCTTTGGCTTTCATATTTTCATTAAAGGTTGTGGGAAAGGGTGGGTTTTACCTGATGTTGGGGGCGGGACCCCTTCCCAGGCCTGACCCAGATAGCTCAGATCTGCCTGGGCCGTGTTGTGGGAGCAAGGCCTGGATGAGCTAGGCTGAAGGCAGTCTGGCCTGGCCCTGGCTGCTTAGGGGACCAGAGGGGCACATCCTTGTGGCGTGGCACAGAGCTGGCCCTGCCTTCACCAGGACCCTGAGCTGTTCAGGGAAGCAGGAAGGATGCTGTCCCTTGGCCTCTGCCTCCCGGGGAGTGGGTGGGTGAGGCTGTGCTTTGTAAGGGGGTAGGGAGGGGCTCTGTGCACAGTTATGTAAAGCATAACTATGATTTGAAGACTGACTATTAAAGAAGATTTGTAAGAATCTAGCCTGACTTGGGGGTGCTGCATCCTGGGCCGCGGGAGGGCCAGAGGGGGGAGGAGGGTGTGTGTGGAATGGCTGCATTTGCAGGGAAGCATGGTGGGCACTTCACCACTGTCCCCAGGGCAGGGACCCTTTCTCAGCATCTCTGGCCCCCTTTTCAGCCTGCTACCGAGGAGTGTGGCACCTGGCTCTGGTCCATCTGCCTGGCTATCAACGTGGCTGCAGTTTGATTTGTAAATTGAAACAGGTGTAGATTGTATCTCTAGGTTCCTGCCTCTGAGACCAGGTTACAGGTGCCCCCAGATGGTACACACAAGTGGGCTGTGAGGGAGGGGTCAATGAAGCTGCAGGACAAGCCTGGCCTCTTTCTAGAGCATCTGTATTTGACAAAGGAAGGAAACATTTTCATATTAAAGAAATGTGATGGAGTAAGACGTGCAGAATTCAGGAGCTTTAACGATGCGATGTGAGACTTTAAAGGAAGCTCTTACTTGTGCACAGAGGGTGAGCCCAGCACAGCCCGCACCCAGCCTCATGAGCCCAGAGGCGGCAGAGGCTCTGCCTGCACCGCTGCTCTAAGGCATATCAGGGGAAGCTGGGGGGCATAGGAGGGCACTTGCCCCACCACCTCCCCCTCTCCGAGACTTCTTGGGGCCCTGGAGGAGGAGGAAGGGATGAGGTGGGGGGGACTTGCCTCCCTATAGTAGGGCAGGAAGGGCAATGGATGGAGGTGTTCCAGAAGAATCCACCAGGTGGCGGTGCTGCCCCAGCCTAGGAGCCCAGAGTTGTTCTGGTTACTCCAGGCGCCTCACCAGCCACATAAAGCCGGGTGGGCTCAGAACTGTTTGCCAAATACGTCAGAGAAGACTGAGAAAATGCAACAGTTACTAAAGGGGCGGGCTAGGGCCTCCCAGCCACCAGGACTAGGACCACACAGACCTGCCTCAAGGCATCCTCGTGCTTCCCACTGCCCAGGTGTCCTCAGACAACCCCAAGGTTGTGCTGTGTCATCAGACCATGGCCCTAACTTGTGAAACCTGGCCACCAAGCACTGGTCTGTGGGGCCCCTTAGTCCTTCCTCCTGGGGAGGACCCCACTTCAGATTGAAGTTCCATATGGAGGGAGCATAGTCCAGCTTCTCTAAATCCTGAACTGGCCCCTAGAGCTCCTCATATGTCTGGAGCCTGCCTGGGGCTTCCAATCTTCTTGCCTCCCTCTCTGAGCTGCTGGGTCAACTGAGCTGCTACCAGGCCTGTGGGGGTAGAGGCCACCCCCAGGCTGCTCTCTCTCCCTCAACATCCAGGCCAAGGGACATGCTGTTCAGAGGACTGGCACATGAGCCCCATGGTGGCCTGGCTGCTGAACCAGCAGGCAGGAGGAGGCAGCTCACTGGGACCAGGCAGGAATCATAGGTCCTTTGAGGAGCTCTCTGATCCTTTGGGGAGCCGATGTCAGTGGCCAGGAAGTGTGTAGAGGGGTGCTATCTGGCATGGACACTGACCAATGGGAATGAAAGCCAGATCTGAGCTGGAATAGGGGCCTTCTGTGTGGATTGGTGGGAGATGCAGGGCCACCTAGGGGTTGGCCTGGGGGGACTGTCAGTCAATCAGTAAAGAAATACTTCAGTATTTTAATAATTGGCATGGCTTTATGGGTGAGTACCACTGAGTGTCAGTCCAGTACGTGTGTGTATCTGTTCATGGGCTTGAGCGCACTCACACACACATACACGCAGGCCCTGAGCCCCTCTGAGAGCTCAGTCCATTTCCAGCTGTGAGGGGTCCCAGCTCTTCTCTTAGATTAAGCTGCTGTGGTGAGTGGTAGGGAGGAAAGGCCGAATGTCTGCTAGCCTAGAATGTTCTAGGCCTGCTCTGGCAGAGCACCCCAGCCACTCATCTCAATCCTGCCTGTTTCCTAGCAGAGCCCCCTCCAGCCTCTGCTCTGGGGTCTTCCAGGTGAGAAATCCCCCAGGCTGAGAAGCGGCAGGGTGAAGGGGGTCACTCATGACACTGGAGTATCCAGCCACCAGGGCATCTCACGGGCAAGAACTACCACCACCTCCTTCCCCTGGAGAGAGACAGAGAACTAAGACACCAAACTGCCTCAGGGCAAACATCTAGCTACCCCCTGGGGCCTTTGGAACCTGTGGGTTAAAGTTTATTCATTCATTCACTCACTCATTCATTCCATGAATACTTAATGGACACCTACTACTATGTGCCACCAGTGTCCTGGGCTCTTGAGAGCAGTGGTGAAGACTCTGTATTTCACCTGTATTCTAGTGAGTGCAGGGAGTCTTGCACACTCATTGTACACACCTATACAACAGACACATGTGCACACACAGCACATGCATACACACACTCTCCAACTCCTGACAGCACAGTCCATGCTGAGTGCTGCTGTGGGACCCCTGGGGCCCATCCAAGGCCTCTGGCATCCTGTGGAAGGAAGTAGAATAATGAACGTTGAGTGGAACAAACAGGATAGAGGGTGGAAGTGCTCATCACTCAGCCTCCTTCCCCCCTGGTCCCACTCCACATAATCAGCCATTCTCCTGGCAAACCCCTTCCCAGCCGAAATCAAATAAAATCAAAACAGGGATTGGCAGAGTGACATCACCTCTCTTAGTCTCATCTGTGAAATGGGGACTATAATTCCTACCCCCCAGTGTTACTATGGGAACTAAATGAGGTGATGTACTTCACACACTGCTTCCCAACGCAGACTGTCCCAGGACAGCTCCCCTGCTCCAGCGGGGATCCCCCTCCCTCAGCACTGGCCTCTCCTGGACAGGAACAGGCAGGCCTGAGGACTTTGGTGCCTCCAGGGCAGGACCTGCTGGTTGGTCCAGAGGCTAGGGCTGGGGCAGGAAGGAATCGGTGCCCAGCCCCTGCCCAGTGTGGCAAAGCCTCCCAGCTTCTGTGTAAGGTGCAGCCAGGTAGGGTGGCACACTGTAGGACATCAGACCTGTGAGAGTCCCCCCACCCCCAGCGGACCCCTCTGAAGTCATTTCCCCAGCACCTGCCTTCTGAGCTAGGGCATGTCAGGCCCAGAGCCAAGCCCCTCACCCTGCCCCCTAATGTTAACTCAGATGCTTCAAGCAGTACCCTCTGGGGATAGAAATGGGCTTCCTGCAGGATGCAGGGGTGGGGTGGGGGGTGGCAGGAACAGCTGAAAGCACAGAGGGGAGGGGTGAGGAGGGTGGAAGGTGGGAATAGCCTTCTGGGAAGCTGTGGGGGCAGGAAGGGGAGCTGGTGTCATCTGACAGTAGTGAAGGGGTCTAGCCTCTGCCCCTGCATCACACACCTGGGTGAGCGCAGCTTGTGGCTTCCAGGGTGACAGCGACCCTGTGATCCCAGCAGCCAATCCTCTTGGTTCTCTTGGACATGCAGAATTGTGAGCTAAATAAATGATGGTTGTTTTAGGCCCCTAAATTTGGGGGTAGTTATTACACAGCAATAGCTAACTGATACAATGATGACCTGAGATAGTAATAATGATAGCTACCATTTGCAGAGGGCCTACTGTGCTCCAGGCCCAGGTCCAAGCTCTCAACATAGATGACCTCATTTCCTCCACCGAGCAGCTCTGAGAATTGGTATGCAGGTCCTCACTTTATAGACCAAAAAATTGAGGCTTAGAGGAGACATGGGCCTCGTCTAAGGCTGCCTGACAATAAGAGACAGAGACAAGATTAGAACCTAAAGTCTGTCTTTATGGACTCAGTTCTGAATCTCCTTCCCGGGCAGGCCTCAATGTCAGAGAGAGCTCGAGCGAGCGTAATGTATTCTGCACACAGGAGCTGACGTCATTGAGTGTTCTCAGCCTTCCCTGCCCCAGGAATTATGCTGCAGCTCACCCTGCTGTTCTCACCCCAGCCCCCTGCCTCTAATTCCCATGTGCTTTCAGAGAGAAAGGCAAAGGCACAGATGTTGGGATCATTTATTTCTTTTTTATTCCACCTCCTATTTAATCAGCAAATATTTATTGGGAGCCTGTCCTGTGCCCATTTCCACAGTGTTCTTTCTTTTGTGACATTTCCTGGATCCTTACAGCAACACTGGGGTAGTTAGGATCATCCCCTCTTTCCAGATGGGAAAACTGAGGCTCCAGAGAGGTAAAGCGACCCCCTGAGGCCACCTAACTAGTTAGTGCTTGGGAAGAATTCCGTTCCAGGTTGGGCCGAATTCAGGCAGGGCCTCTTCTTGCTCTATCACCACAGCAGTGGCTTTTCTAAAAGAGATTTTGAAATTTCCTCTGGGTTCTGTGCTTGACAGGTAAGGGGCTGGGAGGCTGAGAGGAGAAAGGGGTGGGGGTGTTGGAAAGTGTTCCCAACTCGAAGAGCTGGCTCACTCCCTGCCTCAGTGATGCTCAGGCCCTGAGTTACGCTGTGAGCGGCAGCCAGTGAAGGATTAGGTGGCATGTGCTGGAGGGGCAGAGAGATAACCACAGGCTCCATCCTGCTCCCCAGTGTCCACAGCTGACAAGTCACAGCCACTCTCCATCCCCATGAACCCTCCCCACCCCTCTGCTTAGCTGCTGGACCACAGCCATCTTCCACCACCAGGCACTGGGCATGGTGCCCCTCGCCTCCTGGCTGAACTGTTTGCAAACGGGAATTCAGGGTCAGTCTGAGCTCTCTCTTTCTCCCAGGGCAGTCATTCCCCTGGGGTAGGGCCATAGCCACAGGCCTCCCAAAAGTTCTCAGAGCCCAGCCCCTGCCCAGCTTGCCTCCTCCAGGCTGGCAGCAGGCCCCATCCAGGTCCCTGGTCCATCAGAACCCAGCTGCAAGGAGCCTTTGTGTGGCCCAGGAGCTGCAGCAGGTATGTCTGAGTGCAGGAGAGGGGCCCAGGTGAGAGGCTGGGAGGCCCAAGGGTCTTTTCGGCAAAGGGAGACCTTGTATTCCACAGCCACACATGGCTGCCATCCTCTGGGACAACCTGCCAAAACCCCTGCACTGGGGCTGAGAAGCCTTAGACAAGTCACTCTGCATCCCTGGTC